ATTTCTCTTTTTATCAATAAAATCTTTTGACAACTGACTCGAAGCTGGGTGATTATCTATCTTTTGACAAGCCCGTTTTAAATCTAACTGACTTGAAGCTGGGTGGTTATCTATCTTTTGACAAGCCCGTTTCAAATCTAACTGACTCGAAGCTGGGTGATTATCTATCTTTTGACAAGCCCGTTTCAAATCTAACTGACTCGAAGCTGGGTGATTATCTATCTTTTGACAAGCCCGTTTCAAATCTAACTGACTTGAAGCTGGGTGATTATCTATCTTTTGACAAGCCCGTTTTAAATCTAACTGACTCGAAGCTGGGTGATTATCTATCTTTTGACAAGCCCGTTTCAATTCTAACTGACCCGAAGCTGGGTGATTATCTATCTTTTGACAAGCCCGTTTTAAATCTAACTGACTCGAAGCTGGGTGATTATCTATCTTTTGATGAGTCTGTTTTAAATCTAACCAACTTGAAGCTCGGTGATTGTCATTATGATTTTTGTTTTCCTAATCTTTTTAATCCAATTGAGCAGTAAGAAATTAGATATAGTCCGAAAAATACAAATGACAATTCGTGTTTCTTCAAAACATTATCACATTATCATGTTAAAGTCAAATTCTATTTTTCCAAAACATACAAATTCCAAATAAATAAACTCCATCCTTCCAAAACAAATTCTATTCTTTCAAAACAAATTCTATTCTTTCAAAACAAATTCTATTCTTTCAAAAAGAAAAGAAAAGAATGTATTCATTATTCGTGTTTCTTTAAAACATTATCATGTTAAAATCAAATTCAGTTCAACGTATCCAACGGCCCCTTTTTGGCAATAGTTTGTGGCTGCTCGACCCTTATCGTATCTAGTTGTCCTGATAAAAATACCAGTAGAAGTTCAAGCGTGTAATAAATAATTTGAAATAAGTTTTATCTTCACCTTTTAGGGCTTGGAGCATGTAAATACCTGTTTCACTTAAAAAAAATTTGTGAAAAGTGACGTTTTTTAATTGTGAGTTTCCTTTCTACTTTTCGAAACTGTCTGAAACTACTGCTTCTCGGCTATCTCGAGGAACGCAAACAGATTTTTGTCAAAAATTTATATTTTTATGAAAGCTTCAAGTGGAATTTTATGATTTTTATGAGATTTTTCAATCAAATTTTATTATTATTTTATGATGTGTTTTTATCCAATTTTATGATGTTTTTATAATGTTTTTATCACATTTCATGACTTTTTATGTATTTATCATTATCAAATATTATGATTTTTGTTTTCATATAACTGCACTGACAATAACTTATCTCCAGTCCATAAAGTAGTGTTCAACCAGTGTTATGCAGATAAGAACGTCCCCCACCCCCCAACAGAAGCACTGGTGGCAATAATGGTCGCAGTCATCCTATGTTCATATACCCATATAACATTGACTGAACACCGTCAAATAGAAAATGAAAGCTGGAGGTCATAAAAAACCTGGATGATTTTCTTATTCACATCCAGATTAATTAGTATAGACATTTATTATTGAGAGCAGCGATTTATGTTTAATTTTATATTTTATGATAATTTTATGAGAAACAGTGAAATTTTATACTTTTTCTGATAGTTTTATGAGAAATGATGAAATTTTATAAAAATTAATGTTTTTATATTGTATAGTCCCTTCTACCTCCAACCTCCTGAGTCAAGGAAAAAGTAAACTAGAGCTTTCAATTTTTGACTTATATTGTTTACCTCAGACAAGCATAATATTTGTTTTTAGAGAATTTAACATTATCCAAATTTTAATTATATCTTTTAATTTTTATACACATAAAAACTATCAATTAAACTGGATTTATTGTTTTTTAAGGATAAATTCTTTCAAGTTCTATTTTTATCACATTTAAAATTGGCTGACAGATAAGTTTCCCAGTTGGTGGTCAATTTCACTGTCAGTCTGTCAAAACTGGCCAACATGTATTAAATGACAGCCTTGATGTGATGTTAAGAGTGGGTGAGACAATCCATGTGATGTGAAATTAAATGAAATGAAATGAAATGGAGTTTAACGTCCTACTGTTCTGCTCCTAACCTGGGCTAATGAAGACGGGCATACGCCATACAGTGTGCTATGAGGGAAATTTTGCCTGGACAGCGGCACTACGGCCTACTCTTATATCGAATTCCAACTGCCAAGGGATCTTTTAGGTGCACGCCAATGTGTACACGGGACCTCGGTTTTTTCGTCCCATCCGAACGACTAGACAGCTTTCCTTGTCAGCCCCTCCGTCCTGCATCACTGACAAGTGAGAACCACGCCAGAAAATCTGGATGAACTTTCTCGGCCAATGCAGGGATCGAACACCCGACCTCCAGGCTAGCGAGCTAGCGTCTTAACCACTTAGCCACGTGATCCCCCCATGTGATTTTAAGAGTGGGTGATAGTTTCACACAATCCATGTGCTAAAAGTGTGATACCACCTATGTTTAATGGGACAAAAAATGATACTTTGAAACACTGAAAAAAATTAACCTTCAGTTATTATATTAGTCTGGGTTTTTATTTTCAAAAACCTTATCGATAAAGCGAACCAGGTCTGAATTTAAGAAGTCTACATTATCTATCCCTGAACCATTCTCAGCCCAGTTATGTGAAATTCTGCACATAAAAGTACATTGAAGTTGTTTTATGTTAAGGTAAAAGTGAAATAATTAAGCTTAGCTTGGTTTCCATTCACATCACCAACATTGTCATCTGATTGGCATTAAAGCACATTTTTAGGGGCAGATCCAGGTTTTTTTGGAGGATAGGGTTTCCCAGGTTCCTGAGACAATCTAACTTTTTTTTAGGGGTAGGGGATTGGGTGGGTTAATAAGGATTTATTCACATGACAAGCCCCTAATCAACTCTCTAGATTATTGGATGGCTGAGCTTTAAATGGATAACCGTTGCTACGATAATAAACGAACTATGCTGCATCTTCAAACATCTTCATATCTACTAAATATTGCAGACTAGCGATGTCATCGTGAGTTGATTATGGTCTTTTCATGTTAATAAATGTCTAATTAATAATTTATATAACATTTCAGACGAAAGACTTGCAATAGGCAGATTTAGCTCTTGCATTATAATGTATGTTTAATTAGGCATTTATTAACATAACAGGTCCATAATCAACTCTCTGGATCCTAGGAAGGCTGAGCTTTCAATGGATAATCAAGACTTAAGTCTTGGTTGTCAAGTACCATTGTTACGATAATAAACAAACTAGGCTGCATCTTCAAACGGTCATAACTTCACCCAGAATAAATTAACCTGAATCAAATTTCTTAAAGTATATTTAATCCTTGATTTCAAAAACTACAGATGTACTACATGGAGAGCAGATGTTGTAATTTGTATGTCATTAATTTTTACAAACTTGCTGATAACAGTCTGATTTATTCCATTAGCCAATCACCCCCCCACTGATATCTCTCGTAATTTATTGGAGCCCCACTCGTGGAGGTCAGAGTTCGCCTAAAAACCCAGCCAAATAATCTAAATGTTCTCAGGAAGTTGATTCGATACGAAGGGTTTTGATCACGAGTCAGGAGTCAAATTCCACCACACACATGTTAAGGAAATGTTTTTACAAAGTAATATTTGTTGATAAAAGAAACAACAATTTTATTTAGTATATATTCCTGGGAGTTCTTGTCTATCTTTTATAAATATACTGGAGACGCCGAATGGTCTTACAAATGGGCTTTAGATCATAAGGTCTGTCAATGAGTTTCAATTCCCTGCTTGTACGTGACAAAGAGTAGGGTCGCCTGTCCAACCTCGAGGGTTTTCTCCGGGTCCTCCGGTTTCCTCCAACTGCTAAAGACCCATTCGCGCAAGCAAATTATTGAAATAAAATTGAACCGTATGTTAGTCACAAAATGACCTGGTTTGTGTTGAGTGGACATTAAACCCCATTTCTCTCAACATATATATACAGTGTAGGGGCTTTCTGAGCTATATATATATATGAATTTTATTAAAAAATATATGCCCTCCTTAAATCGAAAAATTGGATAACTGAACATTAATAATGTTAGATGTTATATCTTATTATATAATTATATTTCATATTTATTCTCCTGTTTCGTAACTACGCTCTGACGTAACGTCATTGTCTTATATATTACATTATATTATTATATCAATATGGCCTGAAGAGGTTCAAAAGAACTGAAAATGTTAGCCATAAACATGCAGGTAACGACTTTCTGGCTGGGTGTTCCAAATTGAAATTAAATTGGGCGTTACGTCCTACTTTCATCCATCAAGCTGGCTAATGAAGATGGGTATACCCCATGTAATGTGATATGGGCGATATCCTGTGTTGATTATTCATTTTATTCTAACAATCAAACTCTAACAAGGTCCGGGTGAGATGAATTTATATAAGCTCCCACAATTATAACATAGTGTACTTTTTATAATATATAAATATTTATTGAATAAATAGTGTCAGAAAAAAAAAGGTCCGGGGGGTTGGATGGCCGAATGGCCGAATGGTTAACACGTACGCACTGTATCATTAGGTCTGTCATTGAGTCAACTACCGTGGTTTCGATTCCCCGGTTGTATGTGATAAGGAGTAGGGTTGCCCATCCAACCTCGTGGGTTTGCTCCAACTCCTCTGGTTTCCCCCCACTGCTAAAGACCCCTACGAGCAAGCAAATTATTGAAATAAAATTGAACCAAACGTTAGTCTCGAAATGACCTGATTTGTGTCGAGTGGACGTTAAACTCCCCCCCTCTCTCCCTCTAAAAATGTCTTCTGTCTGGTACCATGCAGCAGACCATCAATATGTTAAACTTTCAAAATGAGTCTTCAGGCATATCATTCTCGGTAACCCCTAAGGAGTCAAAAACAGTTTCAAAAATATTTAAGATGTGAAGAAATAGAGCACATCCTAACCGAGCACTCATCCTGGAATCGCTTAAAAACACTAAAATAAAACTTGTTAAAAATGTCTTACCTTTTAGACCTTTATTCAACTGTCCGTCTCGATTCCACGCAGGATCTCCATGACCAGAGAAATCGCGTAATTTTAGATAACTGATTGACAGACGTATAATGGAGGCTTTGTCCAGCTGACTTGTAATGGCGGCAGGTAAAGGCAACATCTTAGCCAATTCATAAAATTCATAATTCTCTTTTCCTCTTCGTGATCGTGCAGCATCGCGTGATTTCTCTTTACGCACTTCTAAGATACTGAAATAAAAAACAAAAAAACCCCATCAAAATGAGGACCAATATCTACCAGTATTTTACAATGATTCAGGACGAGAGATACAGAGAGAGAGGGAGAGAGAGAGAGAGACACAGATAGAGAGGGAGAGAGAGAGACAGAGAGGGAGAGAGAGAGAGACACACACAGAGAGAGAGGGAGAGAGAGACACACACACAGAGAGAGACAGAGAGGGAGAGAGAGAGACACACACAGAGAGAGACAGAGAGAGACAGACACACAGAGAGAGACAGAGAGGGAGAGAGAGAGAGAGAGAGAGAGAGATAGAGAGAGAGAGGGAAGAGAGAGAGACACACACACACAGAGACAGACACAGAGAGAGAGACAGAGAGGGAGAGAGAGAGATAGAGAGAGAGAGAGAGAGAGAGAGAGAGAGAGAGAGAGAGACAGACAGAGAGGTTGAGAGAGGGAGAGAGACACAGAGAGAGAGAGGGAGATAGAGAGAGAGACACAGAGAAAGACACAGAGAGAGAGACAGAGACAGACAGAGAGAGAGAGAGAGAGAGGGAGAGAGAGAGAGACACACACACACACACACAGAGAGAGATAGGGCTTAACCTCCATTCACACAAACTAGGTTATTTCTTGACTAAATATTGTTCAATTTTATTTTAAGAATTCACTTGCACATCAGGGCCCTTATCTGTGGGAGAAAACCGAAGAACCTGTAGAAAACCCGCAAGGTTGGACAGACAGCCCTACTCCTGGTCTCCTTGTCACGAATAATTTGGATAACGAAACTACACAGACCTTATGATGTAACACACAGAAGTTATACCATTCACCCAACCCCGCCTCAGGACAAATCCAAATGCAGATCTGTTTTAAATGTAGCCATTGTGACAAAAATATTTTGGTCATGTTTAAAAAAAACGAATTTATTTTGATTCTGAGGTACCTTAAAGTACAAAAGTGTTCGACTGGAGTAAATTTAAACCAATCCACATCTGCAGGGACGGACCAAAAATTTTTGTTGCACGGGGATATCTTTGAGTTTTATGCCTGTCCTTCCTCTCACCCCCACCCCCTGTCCTTCCTCTCACCCCCACCCCCTAACGCATCATAATACAATACTCATCCAACATATTTAAAAAGTGTGTGGGGGGGGGGATGGCCGAATAGAAATGAAATGATATGTAGTTTAATGTTTATTTTTTTGCATCAACTGGTCACTTATTTTTAATTATTCGACCATCTGGGGATCTTAAACATGATGCCAATGGTTAGCACGTGCGTGTTGTATCATAAGGTCTGTCATTGAGTCAACTAGTGTGGTTTCTATAATTCCCTGGTTGTACATGACAAGGAGTAGGGTCGCCTGTCCAACCTCGTGGGTTTTCTCCGGGCCCTCCGGTTTTCTCCCACTGCTAAAGACCCCTACGTGCATGCAAATTATTGAAATAAAATTGAACCATGTTAGTCCCGAAATGACCTAGTTTGTGTTAAGTGGGCATGTATAAGTTTCTCTCTCTCTCTCCTCTCTCTCTCTCTCTCTCTCTCTATTTAAACAAAAAAACAAAATTCTATCAGGCATCATATATCCTTCTAAAGTCCCAACAAAAAAACAACTTTTGTCAGTGTGTTGCCCCTGTCAATGTGTCATGCTTTGACGGACCAAGCCACTTCTAAATACTCTTTTATGAAATAATAATGATCTAATTTATTTGGCTAAGAAAATAAAAGAGATCGGTTGATTAATTTAAAAAAATAATGATCAAAGGTTTTTATAAGACAATAATTAAAGTCAACCGTGGATATATGACAGAAACTTGTCAAATAAACATTGAAGGATGACAAATTTAACGTTGATCGTCCCCCTTATATGGTGTGGTTAAAGATCTCATCGACGCGGCCCGGGGTATTAAATTGTGTATAACGGGAGTCAATTTAGCGAGGTTACAATCTGCAGTGAAGGAGATAATAGAAGATAGTCTTAATGAAAACCGCGGTATTACGCGATTAAGATGAATTGCGGGACCATACATTTCACTAAATAATTTACCACTCATCCAAATCTATGAATAAATTTCACTGAGAAAAGGCAAAAAGAAATGAAAAGTGCCGAAAGATTTTACAAAAGTGATTGATGGTGCTCTAGTGGAGATTTTCTTCCCTTCGTTAAACGAATTCCATCAATATTACCGGAGTTTCCGATCGGGATATTTGTCAGCTGTTTTTAAAACAATCTGTAACCATTCTTGTGAAAAAAGATGAACGACCTTTTAGCGATGATTTATTGGATCAAAATGAGGATAAAATTCATTTTAATAAATTAATCAACTTATTTAATTTTATTCTTAAAAAAAAAAAAAAGTTATGTGGTAGGCCAACTAATAGTTGAATTTTTAAAAATAATTTCTATATGTAAAATAAAGTAAATGTGTCCATTCTAGATAATTATTTTATTGCCGACATGTTTCATATAATTTTCCAAGTATTGTACATAATATGACCGACATAAGTCATAGGATTTCTATATATTAAAAATCAATGTTACTTTTCCCATTTTGGTAAACATATCTTCGACAACATTAATATATTTTAAATATATTTTATTTACCTAATTATTTCTCAAGTAAGATACGTGTTGAATTAAACAGACACTGGCATTAGCGTTATATTGTTCTTATAAATACACATAGTCAAACTCTTTACAATCAAATATCAACTGGCCCCTGGGCTATAGAACCTTATTAAACCATAGCTATTACATCAGATACAATTTAGACGAAGCATTACATTGGTCATTAACCAAACTCTCTATAGAATGAACTTTTGTTTTAGATTTCAACTTAGAAGCAATATTTTATAGTTTAATTGTCAATGTGTCATAATTGTCTATTATATATTTTGTAGAATTGTATTTAAAACATAGAGTGAGCTATGGTTTAGAATGGATCGGATCTCTCTCTTTTCTTGTTAATATTTGTTGATTTATCTACGTTTAATAAATCACATAGAAGTTACTTGGATTCAGTCTTAATTTTATAAGACCAGAAACAACGTGGTTACATATGGTGAGAGATATGCCGGCTTTTGATTACCTCAACAGCATTGCCAAAGCGAGTAAACCCAATACTTGGATGTAGCCGAAGGTTAAAAGCAACGTAGAGTCCGGCCTACAGAAATTCTGAAGAACAGGAACGAAGAAAAGTCGGACCAGGAATGATAGAAGTCTGAAGGGTTTATAAATCTTTTTCTAGAAGAAATATAAGTACAACACATACTGATTTGATCTGCTATTAATCAGAAACGACATAACATATATATTTCGTTAGGTATCACAAAAGAAACATGTATAAATCTGGGTATCTAGTTGACCACCCTCTGTTAAAATCAAGGCTTTATATGGTTACCCCTGATGACGTTGGGGTTGGGCTAAGAATTCGTCATCCGCAAGCTAAATTGTGAATCGTAAAAGGCGATTGAAATTTGCTACAGAAAAAGATCTATGTTTCCATAAAAAAAAGAAAAGAATTTTTAATAATTTTATAAGACCAGAAATAACTGGTCACAGTAACTAGGTATTATTTATCTTAAAAAGCCTCTAATTGACAATTGCAGTCTCTAGACAGTATTTATTTTTCCAAAAGACTTATCAGACATGACAATAGAGGTGATAATATAAATGTCAAGTGGACTTTAAACCCATTTCTCTCTCTCTCTCTCTCTCTCTCTCTCTCTCTTTTGTTTTATTTATTTATTTATTTATTTTTCAAACATGACAATAGAGATGATAATATAAAGTTACATGATAATAACATGAGAAAGTTTTGATGACAGAAAAATAATGATGTCATGAATGATCAGCCTCTAGAGGATTACACATAAAAACATGCTTAAATTAAAACTAGGTTTATTTCCAATGGAGTCCTTTTCGGTTCCATTTCGGTCCTTAATTTTTCATGGTTTATTTCACAATAAACTGTACCCATTTTGATTATTTAGATAAACTTTCGACTTGGTTTTAATTGGATTAATTAGAGCACATCCAAAAATTTTACCCAATACATGTAGGTGATGCTGGTTTGTTTCTATTGTCTGTAGAGGATGTCGATTGTTGGGCAAGTTTCAATCATTCATATTTTTGTACATACTGAACGGAATTGAACCATTTTTAGACGGATATTCCTTTTAGAGTTTTAAGGGGATTCGAACCCCTCAAATGTCGAATAGAGACTTTCATAAATTAATCAAATTATTTGATTTTATTCTTTAAAAAAACTCCAAAAATATATTAGATTATTCTATTCCAATTAATAATGTTTTTGACAAATACTTTAAACAAAATTAAGAAATTTGTTTTTAATAATTCAATTATCTAAAGATACATTATGTACGATTTAGATAAAGATCTGACAGTTCGTGCTATAATAGCTCAAAAATAGATTATTAAAAATAGATTATTCAAAAATGAATATAATGAAAATTTAATTCAAATTACTTTATTCTGAGCAAAGTTATCATTGTTTGAAGTTTTGAGTCAGCCTCGATTCAACATTTTCAAATTTAATTATTAAATAGTCTAGAGGTTTGATTTTGGCCTTATATCATGTGTATTAATGTCTAAATAATAATTAATATAACATTTGAAGCCAATATAAAGAAATGTAATAGGCAGATTTATAGCTCTTATATAATGAACGGAGACACGTGTGTAATACCTTTAACTAAACTAACAAAGTTCATTCATGCAAAATAAATACCTGAAACTTTGTGACTATATTTAGATATTCATTCATCACGTTTTAATTACTTTTAAAAAAACATGTCCATATCCTGTTTAAATGTTTTAGTCAAATTTCAAAGGGATATTTCTTCTGTTCATTTTAGCAAAATAAATTACTATAAAAATGAGGACTTTCTCAGAACAATTTTTATAACGAATTAAGTCTTTGGCTACTTAACAGATTAAAATTGAAGACTTGTTCATTCATAACATATATTATAAACGTTTGTTTAT